CCGTTTGAATTCTCACAGTGCGTAGGATTAGACTTTATTCCTAGTTGTGCCTTTAACTGACAATTATCATGCAGTTTATATTCTGACTTCGCAAATAACTCAAGGATAGTTTAGATATCTTCAAGCGACAGTAGGTTTGATTTTTCTTAGCAAGAAGCCATGAAGTTAGTGCCGATGGGTTTCACTACTGCTTATGAGGTTCACGAACGACGCAGCGAACTAATTCAAATTCGAACGGGATCATCGGCTTTGGACAGGCTCATTGGCGGAGGAGTGGAGACCGGTCACATCACTGAGGTAAGCAAATTGGCAGAACTGTTTTGGGGTTATCGATCAGTCAAGAGTAAGTTTAGATCTTCTTTCCGCTCTCGCTTTGCTTTCTCATTCATTTATGTTACTCGTAAAGGCCTTTGTCGTTGTAGATATTTGGTGAATATCGCACAGGAAAAAGTCAGCTATGTCATAGTTTAGCAGTCATCTGCCAGCTGCCAATATCGATGGGAGGAGCAGAGGGTAATCTTGATAATTAAGTTTTTCTCTAGTATAAATTTGGTGCGCTGAATATCAGCGTTCGTTAGAGTAGTCGTCATCTACATATCAATATAAACAAATAAACAAAGTATTGAGCGTATGTACCGAATGCAAATTTTAATTTCGAAGCGTTAAGGTTTAAACCTTGCAGACGCACATTTCACGGAGGGGTCATGTAGGTACCTTATCCTGGCATTGATTTCATGAATTTTTGACACTGAGTCAGTTCATTGTTAAAAATGAGTAAAGCCATCATCGCTTCAGATCATACAAAGAAGATCATAAAACACATATAGTTTCTAAGTGGAGGTACGTTAAAGCGGAACGGTGGCTCATATGGATTAACAGTAGGCTTTAGGGTAAAACGGTAGTTGTAGGGCAAAGGCAACCAAATTGTTAGTACTGTGCATAATCGAAGGAACAAAGCTTTCAAGACGTTCAAACGTTACGTTTAGAAGGCATCTGATGGACCTCGATGCTCATACCTCTCTAAAATGTAATACACATTAGTGTCGTTTTCCGGGTTAAATAATTTTTAAATGTTACTCATTAATTTTAACATACGTGTGTTCACACGAAACAGTGAATGCGGGAGTTGATTACAGCGATATATCTTCACAAAAATGCATACCTGGTCATACCTGAAATTCCTAACAGTTGAGCAAAGCCGGGTTCAACAATAAATTGTTGTTATACCGTGATTCTTACATTCATATGTTTAGGAAAGTGCATGTGGATAGATACTGAAGGAACATTTCGACCGGAGCGGTTGGTCCCTATTGCAGAACGGTATATCCATTTTTGTTCATTGTCACAAATAATATAATCTATCATATTATTAATTTGTAACACGTTATTATTACAATTATTTCTATTATATTGTAATCATCATATCATTCATATAATGTTTACGTCATTTTTGTGTCACTGAAAAAGTTTCAGGTTTAACATGGATTGTAAACACGTGTTGGAAAATATCGCGGTAGCCAGGTGCTACAACTCAGATCATCAGATCTCGCTACTGACAATGGCTGGTTAGCGCCATTTACTTTGTTGATGATGAGTAAATAAATAGAAAGACCTGGCAGTACAGTAAAGACTTGATATCAGAAAAAATATAGCTTGACCATTTTGTTCCCTTAAATCTAAACGAGACCGGACAAACTCAGCAATGGGGTTGTTTTCCCTCTTATATGTCCTACAGTCTAGAATACCACTATTACAATCTTATATACAGAGAAAGCAAAGAAAAACACAACTCAAAATTTTTTTGGGAATTCCAAAAGCCGTCAGTCTAACTTCTCTAGTTTAAGCTGCCATGATGGCTGAAAGTCGATATGCTCTCCTGATTGTTGACAGTGCTACTGGGCTGTTTAGGTGAGCTCATCCACAATTTCACCTAGCTTGTTGCTACCAGAAATATGCGCTTTTCTAGGAGTGACTATTGTGGTCGTGGTGAACTGGCAGCCCGACAGATGGCTTTATCCAAGTAAGAGCTTTTTTT